ATAAGTCCTTTTTCTTTTTAATTGCGTCTTTTACTTCTTCGCACCACCAAGGTGAATATTTGTTATTTCCCCGTCTGTTTCCACTCTTCCGTTTTCCACATAATTCTTCTGCAATACTAAGCATAGTATTTTTATATTTACCTCATTCTTCCTCAATATTGCCAACTACATGTGGAAGTTGTTTGAATGCTGTCTCTACTTTCTGTTTTAGCTGTTCTTTTACTCCTTCCTGTTTCAGATTTTCTATCTTGATGAGATCCTTGTTTTTGGTTAATTTCTTTCTGTGTTTCTTTAATGTAAGATGTTTTGCTGTTAACACAACTATTTTATGGTCAGTGTCACATAGACCATTAGGGATTGCTCTTGAATCAAGAATTCTCCTTCTTCCTTGAACTCTGGTAAGTATAAAGTCAATCTGGCTCTTGATTCCATTTGTAACAAGTGTAAAGTTGTGAATCTCTATGGTCAAAGAATGTGTTCGTAATAAAAAGATTGTGCTGGCTGCATAGATCCAATATTCTTTGACCATTTCCATTTCTATCACTGTTCTTAGCTGCACGTGGACCTAAAAACTGTTCGTACTCTCTTATGTTATTTCCTACCCTTCCGTTGAAGTCACCCATTACATATAGTATGCTGCTTCCCTTAACTTTCTCTATCTCATCAGACAGATCGTCAAAGAATTAATCTTTCTGCTCTTCTGTATAATTATCATTGCATGGTGCATATAACTGTATATATGTTTCAGCTTGTTCTCCTCTTTTAATTTTCAAAGTAATAATTCTATCTGAGTGATAATGTATGTCTAATATGTAGTTAGATATGTCCGGATTCACCAGGAAACCCATTCCATTCTTCGATGTTCCTCCTCTTGCATATGTTAGTAAGTAGCCTTTGTGTATTTTCTTGTTACTATTTCCCTTGCGTCTTATGTCAGCTAGCCCCATTAACTTGATTTTCCCTTTTCCTATCATTTCAATAATCTCTTCTGTTGCAATCTTGTATTTCCCTTTTCTGTCTCGTAGACCCTTAACATAGCCATGGTCAGCTACCGTTTGATCGGTCCGTTTATATCTCATTGTGTTTTCTGTAGCGATAATAAATCCAATGCCGGCTTGCTAGGCCTGTCGCAACTTCACCAGAGTTCACGAACGTCATAATATGTTTAAATCACCTTTGATCACTGGCATCATGAGAGCTAATAGACTGAAATGGTTGGGGCATATTGAAAGAATGTCAGATGACAGAGATGTAAAAACTGCATCACGAGGGAGATGAATGGTCGTACACCACGAGGCAGACCAAGAAGACGATGGAGAGATAACTTCCAGACAGACCTGCAAACACTTGGTGTCACCAACTAGAAAGAGAAGTCCAACCAGAGAGATGAATGGAGGCGGGTGATATCTGCAGCAATGAACCTCAAGGGCTAGGAATGCTGAAGAAGAAGAATAAACAAAAATTTACAAAGCAAAGAGCCCTTTTCCATGTCTTTAACTTTAATTAAATTATTTTTCTGCATTCACACTTAGAAGGGTGGTTGGTACTCTGTGCTGTGGTTTACAGCTAGGTTGTGATATCTGCGCCTTTAAGCCCAACACATCTGAATTCAGCAAATCCTTCATTATAATTCTTTTGTATCAAGCTTGTTGAGGATCAGTGGATTTATTCTTGTTTCCCCAAAATGGGACTCCAGGAACCCACTCCAGGAACCCACTCCAGGAACCCACTCCAGGAACCCACACAGGCAGTATCATAAATGATGTTAGCCCTATATTTTGTATAGACCACTAGTGACCAATGGGTGATGTGCTTAATATCCCATCAGTGAGCGTTACTTCTTGGAATATTTCTTAAACCTTATTCTTAGTTACCTGACAGCCCAGATCACTATTAACATATTAACAAAGACAAAGTTTTGCAGCAGGATTGGAGAATACAAGTGTGAGGATTAGAGAATACAAGTGTGAGGATTAGAGAATACAAGTGTGAGGATTATAGAATACAAGTGTGAGGATTGGAAGAATACAAGTGTGAGGATTAGAGAATACAAGTGTGAGGATTGGAGAATACAAGTGTGGTACCCATTTAGTTTGGTGGAAAAAAAAAAATAATTTTATGGCAATGTGCTGAGCATATCATGAGAAGAAGTGAACAGAGAATCACCAAATAGGCACTGGAATGGAAAACAAATGGACTAAAAAACAAGGATGCCCCCCCCCCCCCACCCCCACACAAAAATCTGAAGATTAATTCTGATGAGAGAGGCTGGACCGTATTCCATCCATTGTATCAAAAAAGACTGCATCTGATAGAACTGTGAACTAGGCTACGAACCCTATGTGACATGTAGCAGCATTTCAGGATGAAGATGGTGATAAAACTAGTTTTGAGTTTCATCAAAGACGAATATAATTGAGTATTAACTGTTCTGGAGGTTTGTGAGTTTTAACTCTGAAGTTTAATACAGTGGTGTTCTGATGCCACAGAGCTTCACTCGGCCAGGCAGACATGCGGATGTTTCCTGGAGAGACCTCAGCTAAGTAATTTTGTTTACTCTTGTTTGTAACTGTAAGACTATTTATGACGTGTTCTGATGAAGCCTTCCTAGCTGCAGTGTTCACTTCTTTCGTGACTGTTTTAAAGTGAAGCTTACTAGTTCTACTTTTCATTTAGTTTCATATTTTTTCATGTCGGAAAGGCCTAAAAAGAGTTCTCAGGTTTTTTTTGGGCAACAAATTCTCTCCCATGTCGGAGTTGAAAAAAAAAAAAAAAACCCCATCTCAAGATTTGTAAAACAGAAGTCCTCCCTTCTCAAACAGCAGAAGCCAACAGAGTGTGCAGAACCGGTACTATGGAACTTAAATTCTGTATTGTAAATCTGTTTGTCCATGTGTCATGACAACCATAACAGCTGTAATCTTCGTCTTCTACTCAGTGTTCACTGGCTGTAAATTACATTGTTCGTCCACTTCTGGACTTTGGCACACATGCTTTACAGATCTTGCTCATTTCCTAACGGTTGGTCCTGGCTTCTCAGGCAGATGCCCTCTGAATTTGAAGGAAACCTCCCTTTCAAGTTGCCTTTTATATCATGCTTGTTACGGGGGACGGGAGGGGGGGGGGGGGGGGGGAGTGCCCCTTTTCCCCTTCAAAAATGGATCACAGGAACCCACACAAAAAGGAGCTTTAATAAAATTCAATAGCTCATAAAAATGTAGCAAAATGCTATTCAAGCAAATAGATGGGTAAATGGCATAAGCGAGGTAAGAAATTTATTTCCTTTTTCCACAGTCACTGTTTTGCCTTTCAGAATCAAGTAAAGAGACACTAAAAGCAAATGTTTTGTTTATATGGTACTGATTAATGAATCAACAAAAATTCGCCTGCATAATAAAATGTGATAATGCAGAATTCATTCAACACAGAAGCATAAACACAATAAAAAGGTGAACAGTATTGTGGCAGCTGCCATCATTCTCACACACAAGGAGTCCAGATGTGGGAAACTGCATATTCCTACCAATACTCTGCTATCAGTGCCAAATACAGATGATGTCTTAATTGTAATGTACCATATGTGAAATTTAAAACTATACTAAAGCTGTTAAATGGGGTGAATTCTGCTAACTGGGATAAATTCTGCTCAATGGGATGAATTCTGCTCAATGGGATGAATTCTGCTTAATGGGATGAATTCTGCTCAATGGGATGAATTCTGCTTAATGGGATGAATTCTGCTCAATGGGATGAATTCTGCTCAATGGGATGAATTCTGCTCAATGGGATGAATTCTGCTCAATGGGATGAATTCTGCTTAATGGGATGAATTCTGCTTAATGGGATGAATTCTGCTAAACGGGATAACTTTTGCTAAATGGGATGACCTCTGCTAAATGGGATGAATTCTGCTCAATGTGATGATTTCTGCTAAATGGGATGATTTCTGCTCAATGTGATGATTTCTGCTAAATGGGATGATGTCTGCTAAATGTGATGATGTCTGCTAAATGGGATGAATTCTGCTAAATGGGATGACTTCTGCTAAATGGGATGAATTCTGCTTAATGGGATGAATTCTGCTCAATGGGATGAATTCTGCTCAATGGGATGAATTCTGCTTAATGGGATGAATTCTGATCAATGGGATGAATTCTGCTGAATGGGATTAATTCTGCTAAACGGGATAACTTTTGCTAAATGGGTTGACTTCTGCTAAATGGGATGAATTCTGCTAAACGGGATAACTTTTGCTAAATGGGATGACTTCTGCTAAATGGGATGAATTCTGCTAAACGGGATAACTTTTGCTAAATGGGATGAATTCTGCTCAATGGGATGAATTCTGCTAAATGGGATGAATTCTGCTAAATGGGATAAATTCAAGAAAGGTGAAGAAATAAAAAAAGACCCTCTCTCCACACACACACACACACACACACACACACGAACGCTCACGAACGCTCACACACACACACAGATGCACGCAAATACACACAAAATAGCATATAAATTGGGCACACCATGAGAAGAAGCTTCAGTGAATCACCAAACAGGCTCTGCAATGGAAAATAAATGAACTAAGGAAACAAGAAGGTCCAAAAGAGATCCTAAAATGCATGTTAAAGGAAGTGAGAGGCGCTGTACTGGATTCATTCTATGATGTTGAAATGACTGCACAGGATAGACCAGAGAAGGGGGGGGAACCCAACTTCAACAGGATGATGATAATGAAAACTGCTGGCTACACTAAATGATACATATTTAAAAATGATGCATCCCGGGTATCACTTCCTGCATGAAACAAATAGCCACCCATACCCCTGCCACTCTCAAAAAAAAAAAACCACTGACATGATGGTGATGGATGATGATGATGATGATCCATGCACATTTTGATGACAACATTGATGTAATGGCATTTGCGACTCAGAGATGATGATGTTTAACAACTCATGATGATGGAACAAGATAATCCATTCAACTTTACTGTAACTTACCACAGATACAATATGGCTGGAACTGCCCAGTTTGATAGCTCGCTTCATCAGCTCAATCTGCTCACTGACCTGCAAGTGACAGGTGTGCTATATAATATTTTACCGTACTTGCCACAATCAAGGTCTATAATTTGAAGACACTCTCTAAAATACGTGCTCATCATGTACCCTTCTTAACATACTTCCTTATCATTATTGATTCAAGTCTGCAGCTTTTTTTGTTGTTGGGTGTGGGAGGTCTAGAAATTGTTGGCAGTTGTGTTACCTAAAAAGTTTTGTGGCATGCTTGCATATGTTTGTGTGTGTGTGTGTGTGTGCATACGTGTGAGGGAGGGAGGGAGGGAGAGAGAGAGAGAGAGAGAGAGAGAGAGAGAGAGAGAGAGAGAGAGAGAGAGAGAGAGAGAGAGAGAGTTTGCAGTGGAGATACATGGAAAAGGATCTCAGACAGGTCAGAGAACTGAAGTGGTAATAAAACAGCATAAAATGTTTGGCATGTAAAATGGATTCATCATTATCATCATCATAAACCACTTTTGCCGTTAAGCGCCGTGGGGAGGAATAATTTGCGATCCAGTGCACGTTGGCTGCCACTGGCTATTGTCATGCCGTGAAGGCGTAGAGTGTCTTTAATGCTGTCGATCCATATTTTTCGTGGCCGTCCTTTTGCTCTTGTAGCTGATCTTCTGAGATGTAGTGCTTGTGATGGTATTTGATCTTGCTGCATTCTAGCGAGATGGCCAAACCACTTGATCTGCTGTTTCTCGATGAATCTAGTAAAAAGTGTCGTTCCCACAATTTGCCTGATAGTTTCATTATTCACTCGATCTCGGATGGTTAGGTTGGCTGCTTTTTTCAGGCATCTCATCTCGCAGGTGGTGATTTTGCCCATATGGGCTCTAGATAGTGTCCATGTTTGGCACTGGTAGTTAATGTTGGAATGAATATGCTATTAATAATCTGTCTCTTTGCACTCATAGTTATGCTTGGATATCCTAATAATTCTGACAATTGGTATAAAAGGGCACTTGCTTTCTGACATCTGGTTTCTATTTCTCTGTCAATTCTACCATCTTCTGTGATCATACTTCTAAAATGTTTAAACTCCCTAACTTGATTCAGAGCAGAACCATTCGGCTGTATGTGTAGTGGGGCAGGGGTTCTACTAACTTGCATTGTTTCGGTTTTGTTTACATTGATCTTCATGTTGTATTTACTGCATGCTGTGTTTAACCTGGTAATATGATCTTGCAGTCTATCTTCTTCAGGGTAGAACAAGCACTGGTCGTCAGCAAATAGTAGTTCGTTTAATGTGGGTAAATCGATAACTTCTCCTGATGTGTGTAATTCCTCATGATTATAAAGATCTATGTTGTCTGTATCAGAACTTGCTTCTTTAGATATTCTGTCTATATAGATGTTAAATAAAAGTGGGGAGAGCAGACATAACTGTATCACACCTGTGTTGACTGTGAACATGTCTGAAATGGATTCAATGCGCCTTATTTCACCTGGCAGACAGCACTTGGGCATTTAGTTAAAAATGGGTAAATTGAAACAGAAACGGAATAAAGCAGGAAAGAAATGGAATGGATGGAAATCTCAAAATGAAGATGCAGCCAAAGAAACATAAAGGCTCCTTTTCCACGCCTTTAGGCATATTGGGCATATAGGGTTGGACCTATATTTTCATAGACCAATCAACATTTAGTGGGTGATGTGGCCAGCATCACGCCGGCCGCCTTTACTTTCCAGGACTGCACCTGGTACCCACTCAAGGCTGGGTCGACCTGGGAATTAGGGTCATTTTTGAAAAAAAAAATCGGCTCCGTCAGGACGCGAACCCCTGACCATCTGATCCGCAGGCGGGAGTCTAGCCGCCAACGCCACGGCGACTTAAAGAAACTTAAGTTTCGAAAATGTTGTTACCGCAGAGATTTGATCAGATGACAAAACAAATCCTTGTTGCGCTCTTTGTTTTATCTGTTTATAACTAACTACTTTACTTCCAATTTTAATAGCTGCTATGTTTCATGTAAACACTTGTTGTTATTCTGAGATCTTTCTCATCAATTTTAATCTTGTTTAGCATTTTAATCGTTTCATTTTATCAAATGCTTTAATATAATCCATAAAACATGTCTATAGACAGTTTTGTTTCTCAAATTATTTCCCGATATTAATCTTCGGAACGTGTATATTTCATTATTTGTTTCGTACTCATCAAAAACAAAATGTTATTCATTGCATTTTATTTTCCTTTTTGTTTATCTCATCTCCCGTAGTTCTTTCCTTATGTTGCGGACGTGAAGTATAAACAGCAGAAGTGTCCATACGTGTGCTTCTATAGAGATTCCCAAGGAGTCTCGTTTCCATTTAGGTCAGTTCCAATTATACCTCATTCTATTTCTTCAAGCAGTAAAATAACCCCCTACCGTCTTGCTAGACCAGCTGCAGAGGTAAAAAAAAAAAATTACATAGGTGTCTATGTCGTGAAATGATAGCCATTACGCATCGGTCTGTAAGACTGGTAACCTAACTTATCTGTAAATCTTCACAAAATTCAAACTTGGACTCGTCCAGAAAGATATGTCCCTTATATCTATATATATAGGCCTTTATTGGACAACATTATTATGTCTACATTTTCTAGTTGCTTTAACTAAACTCCACTTTTAAATGTATATATCTTTGATATATATTAAGGGAGTTATTTGAGGTTTCGTGGTAACCGATTTACTCCTTGCTCATGTATACTAAGGACTTCTTTCTGTACCAACGCCTTAAGTGTCTAAGTGACGCTATTCTCTCTTGCCGTCTCCTAGCGTCCAGACGTGTCAATCTATGCCTGTATCATTTCATTTTTCAAGACGATCTGGAATGTCTCAGCTTTTACATATGCTTGGGTAAGTTAATTATAGTTTACGAGTACCTAAAATGATGTCTGTAAAGTAGTCACTGCTGTAGAGAGATCAGTATCGGCTGTGTGATCACACTTAGTTCGACCGTTCTTGATCGCTAGAGTAGCGGATTCGAACGTAGACCTTCCCCTGTACAGACTAAATAGCTTATGCCCTCAATAAACCACCCATACTGGTAAAACTTAATACCCTTACAAGTGTGTACGTTTTAAACTAACTATAGAAATCTGTACATACGAAATGGGGACAGAATTAGGTCAGGACTTTGTCGACCAATATATGGAGTGTGTTTGACCTAAATCTAGGGAATGCAGGTACTGACAGTAAATATTGGTGTCTGTGTGCAGAGGGAGGGGGAGAGAGAGAGTGATATATGTGTTAGAACACTCTATCTATCTCCATTGTATATCTGACTTGCCTTCTCTTGCACTAAACAGACAGATGAATATCGGAGACTTATGTCTCTTGGTCTTGAAAGGCATTCTGAGGAATGAAACAGGAGAGCAAGGGTGGAGTAAGCAAATGTGGGATACGACTGATGCTTATTCTGTCTTTCCTGTCAAGATGTTACCCTCTTGGTGATGACTAATTGTGAGTTATTTCTTGGCAGGATGAGTCCTTTGTGAGGAGCTGGCAGAAGATTCACAGTCAAACCAACACCCACCAACTATAACCCAGCAGTCAATTAACCCATCACATACTTATTGTCACCCAACTACCAATTGAGAAGACTGTCCTCCTCAAGATGGGGTACAATATAACCCAAACATCATCCAGTTCCAGAGCATGTGTGTAACTCAGGGACAGTACTGTGAGTTACTCGTGGGAGCAGGTTCTGTGTACCTATCAAGTTGATGTGTCCTCTATGGTGAGGTACTCTTCCATTACCTGATCCAGTTGAGCAGAATTACCAGGGTCAAAGACAGTCGATTCACCCGGAGCTGAGTGAGGCATCAACAGTGGAACTGGGATAAGTGAAGTTTATGTCTCGATTATGCTATATTCCCCACAGCTCCACTGGATTCCAAGGATGAATATATGCTTCCTCCATTGACTTTCTGACTGTTTAACTTTGGTTGATTATAGTCATTGTATTCTGGAATCCAGCTGTTGTGTTTTGACATCTACTTCACTATTTTCTATCTTGTACATTTTGTAACAATTACATGCATTCATTTTCATGGCTGACTTAGGTTTCTCTATGTCACCTTTTTAAGTGTTTAGCAGTTGTGTGTGTATGTATCTTCATTATATGTGTTAACATGGTTATGATATTGACCTATCATAACCTGGGGGCTTTCTTTAGTAAGTAGTGGGGGTGTCCAGCCAAGTGTGCCTAGAAATATTGTATTCATATACTGATATATTTTGTAGTGCCAATACTTGAGTTGCCCTACTCCAGAGATAAGTTGAGCGTATATTGGCCACGGGGAATCCCTTAGACCAATACGAGCCAAACGACTCAACATAATTATCTCTGAGTGCTGTTGGTTCTGAAGGAGAAATCCTTACATTAGGCAAGCGACAGGAGTGATATGTGACAGTCTATCTGCTTGGCAAACCAGGCCATAGTTTCTGGTCCTATGTTACTTTTTTTTTCCTCCACGTTATGATTCTGAGTAGAGGTTTTGTAGTAAAGTTAAAGATTGTTGTTGTAATTACTCACATTCAAATGTTTCTGGTCCCTTGATTATAGCTTTAAACACAAATTTCATCACATCACTGGGCAGGCTGCTATTCAATGTGAAATTCTAAAAGGTCCCAGTTCTACTAATTTTCTGCTCAATTTGTTTCCTGTTGATGTCTATGATAGCACCAATGAGTTCTTTAGTTTAATACTATTTTTATTGTTTGTTTGTTCATTTTTGGGTCGAAAAAAAAAGTTCAACACTCAAGGGAAAGACACCTTCAGGTGTACTGGACATACAGTGCTATATCAATATTTTATAGAACAATCATCACTCGGTGAAAGATGTGGTCGACATCACGTCAGTTGCCTTTACTAGCCAGGACTTTACCAGGTACTCAATTAGGCTGGATCAACCTGGGAGCCTCAATGATGTTTGAAAAAAGTTAGGCTCTGAACCCACGACCTTCAGATCCGCACGTTAACGTCTAGCCTCTACACCATGGCGGCTCTCTTAGGTTTCAAAAGGGCACAATTAAATGAGTTTAATGGACTATAATAACCTAAAATGGTTTGGAAATAACGGTAATGGAGGGTATGATTCCAAGAAGAAGAGCCTGGATCTGATCAACACAACGATGGACATATTGTATCAAGGACACCCTGAACATAAAGGTTCCCATGGCGGGAAAGTGGGCAAGGGGCTCAGTGGTTCTGCCATGCTCAGTGATCACAACATTCCGCAAAGGACCTGTTAAATGATGACGATGTTTATAATATTATGTTTGTCCATTAATATTTTAATAGAACCCTTTTATACCATATTGTTCATTATTTCCGTTTTCTAAATAAAATAAATAGCCAACTGTCCATATTAACACACACACACACACAAAAAAACATAGAAACTCTTGTACATAAGAAACCAACAGTAACAGCCCATTTTCTTACAGCAGGGCTATTCAGCTGAAGGTTGCCTAGCAAGTGGCCCGTGAATCACAGCCAGTTGTATTGTATTAGCGATCTCGCTGTGCTGGAGCTCAGGCCTCAGGCCCGTGACGATCCTTAGTTACCAAATTCTGGCCCCAGAGTAAACTTAGTTGAAAAGCCCTGTCTTACAGGTTCAATATTAATGAAACATCAGGAATAGCCCTGTCTGACAGGTTCAACATTAATGAATCATTATGAATAGCCCTGTCTTACAGGTTCAACACTAATGAAACATCATGAATAGCCCTGTCTTACAGGTTCAGCATTAAATGAAACATCATGATATCTCTGTCTTAGAGGTTCAACATTAATGAAACATTACCTTCCATCCCATTATAAAACTGATAAGTATCCTCAACAATTACAGTATTAACTACAACATCTAAAACAACAACAACAAATGGCACATCATACTTGTTGAGGAAAGGCTGCCAACCGCTTGAGATAATTGTCAAAGTCCTGCTCCGTCTCGAGCCTGGAGTAGAGTGTCCACTGTGGACCTTTGGCCAGGCCTTCTAGAAAGTTGATAGAACTCAAAGTCCCATAGCTAAAGAAGATCAAACAGAGCATTCAGAAGTTATCAGAAGTTTACATTTGGCAAAAGTAAACACATACTCTTACATACGTAACCATATCAAACAAACATACATTTTAAAAGTTGTAGGTCTGAATACTGTTATCTTTCATAAACTAGCTACAGCAAGCTGAATCCCCTTTAATGTGGCTCTAAATTAATCTAGCCTCCTTAGACAGCTATCACATTTCTCCGAGAAAAAAAGTGGCAAGAAAGAAAACTGGTCACCAGACCTCATAATGTTTTTTACAAAATTATTTCTGAACCTTGGTGAATTATGTATCTCATTGTTCTAACAGAGTATCCCTTGCACACATCAAAACAATTTTTTTGAATCCCAATTAGTCAAATTCGTTGAAAAGACTGGTTTTTCTTCTTCTTCTACCCTTAAAAATGCTGTGGGAACGTTATGTCATGGTTTACAGCTTGGCTGTGATATCAGCATGTTTCTGCCTAACAATATGATTTACCTTCATTAGCTGTCTTGTATGAAATGGTTGCTGGGGAAAAGTGGGCATTCCCCCCCCCCCCCCCAACCCCCCACCCAGGAATACAAATATCGCCCTCAAACTTCCATGGAGAGGAAAGCAACTAAGTTCTGCCTTACCACAGCACCCCAAGTCTGATTTACGGACATGGATTGCAGATTTTAAGTAAATCTGTCTATCTGAGATGAGGACGGTAATTTGTCATACATTTCCTGTAGCAAACGCCTAAGGAAATTGAGAACATCAAGTGGGATAAATCCTTCTCCTCCCTCTGTGTCGTCCTGGCATGCAGTATTGTGGACTACATCGAGGCTATGATATCTGCATTTTTTGGCCCAACGCATCCACATTTGTAAAATCCGAATTAGTTACTTTTTATGACATACTAGTTAGGGTTAGTGGGTTTAAACCTCTTACCCCCCCCCCCCCCACCACCCTCCCTTTTTCCCCCCAACTAAGATGAATGTTAGTCTCTACAATTTTCAATTCTAAGTAGGGCTGAACCATCTCTGTGAGGGAAAAACTGTAAGCACTCGTGCCTGTTAGTCTTGCGTGTATATGTTCCAATCCCGCACGATTTTTATCTCACGTCTGTGTCTGTCTCACTTCTGCATCATATCACGTCAGAGACTGTCTCACCTCTGCATCATCTCACGTCAGCGACTGTCTCACGTCTGCTTCAGTCTAACGTCTGCTTCAGTTTCACGTCTGCTTCAGTGTTACGTCTGCTTCATACTCACGTCTGCTTTAGTCTGACATCCAGTGTTGCCACTTTAGATGTTTTACATCCAGATTTAGATGTTTCCCTTGCATTTAGATGGCGTTTTTGACGTTTAGATAGTAGATGTTTTTCTATGTTTTTCATTTGAGTGAATGTATCAAATCTAACGTAAGAAAGGATACATTTGACCTCTTAAATGCTATCTTGACAATAAAATTCGACCTGATAAGAGTAGGAAAAGGCTGTTCCACTTATCAGCTCCCTAATTGAGTATTACAAGAAATTGGAACAACTAAGGCATACCAGTCATTTTGGATCTGAAGCTTCAACTTCATCATCCAAGCTAAGTTTATCCTGTGGATCTTGTAAAGCAGACTTCATTAAAGACGAGGACATGATTCTATAGGGTAAGTCATATCAATTGCTATTAATCAAGTGTAATTTGTGACTCTTTCAATTTTGATGTGTTTTTTATAGATGTTTTTCACGCAAATTTAGATGTTTTATTATTTTTTGACTCCGTTTTGGATGTTTTTTGTCAAAGAAAAGTGGCAACACTGCTCACATCTGCTTCAGTCTCACGTCTGCCTCTGTCCATAAGTTCTGTTTTCCTGGGACTAAATTTGGTAGACTACAGGGCTAATGTTTCTGAATTTAATGTTTATGCGACCGTATGCCTATAGGCATACATGTAAAAGATGACTTACGTTGACTACGACAAGAAAATAGTCGACTTAACTCCTGACGCCTGTACTGTAACCACCGCGGCACGTCTGCAGACAATAAATCATGGGGTTGCTATTATAATTTGTGTTCGCTGATTTTGAATGATCCCCAGTGCTACTGAATATATTGTTTTATGCAACTGTAACTATTTAAGATGTAGCATAGAAACATAGAAACAGAAACCCGTAGGTGGACTAAAGAAGAAAATAGTGGACTTACTCGTGCCATCTATAACCCTCTACGAAGGTTTGCAGAAACGAAATCAGAACTCCCCGCTCTCGCTGGTTGAACTTTGACATTTGCTGGGTGTCCAAGTTTTTCACTCTACCCAGAAACTTTTCCGTTTCATTCTGCACGCAAAATATGAAAATGAGTTAAACACGCATAGGTGGGTAGAGTACAAGACATACACCTTAATTGGCAGGTATGGAGGGAAACAAAAGATTATAGATACATACTGGAATATATTCGCCAATTATAGATACATACTGGAATATATTCGCCAATCAGAAAATAATACAGCTTTGAAAGGAATCGAGTGTTATTCTAATTCTGTGTAAAGCTTCTCCCCTCCTCCCCCCCCCCCCCATGTTGTAAGTTAAAACAGTTAACAGTTTTGGAAGTAGAAGGTAAATGTAGAGATCAGAGGACATACTATAGGTTAGTTGCGTATCCTTTACAGGATGTTGCAGAACCAACCCCAACAGCCCCTGGCTGTTGTGTGGTTTTTCTAGGCAAATTCACGTCCGGTAGTTTGCCATTGCCTTTTGGACGGTCGGCTTTTTTTATCAAACCCGGCTTCCCGGCATTACGAAGCGAACATACTATACAATACACAAATTGAAAGATTGAGGAACAGCTATAATCTAATTGCTTCCGGTCCAATATAGCGGATAAGCAGGCGATGCATTTAAGTTTCGCAGTGTTATATGCTTCTGGTTACAACTTGCTGGCGAATTTGAATCATATCTGGACCTGCAGACCATTGCCCAGATAATTAGTCCAGTGCTTGGTGCAACAAAATGAGCTGTGGATTTAATGAAGAATGCTCTCTGTTCCACCCCGCTAGTATTGTGTATTAACTACGTATTCAGAAAATGGAGAGTATCCAGTTGCATCAGAATCTGCGTTATTAAAAAAAATTTTTTTTTTGTTGTTGTTGCATTATTGCATGTGCGTCTTTTGGTTTGTCTTGACTGATGACTTTCATCAACGATGAACTGCAATTCTAATTGCAGACTATTTGTGTTGATACCCCTGGTGGATGTTTCATGCATTTACTGCATGTGGGAGATTTGGAATTCTTCCCATCTGATATGCTTGACTAGTTTTCAAATTTGACTGCAAAGGGCATTTGTATGTTAATTTTCTCAAACACAAAAACGGAGCAGTTATGAGAAGTACCCATTTTCCGCAAAGTTTAAACTGCGACTAAAGATTGTTGTAACTTAGTAAAAGTGATATCCTCAGCACTTCATGCCTCCACAAAAGTATCTACTGTGGCATTACCCTGAGCAAAGGTAAGTTATTTATACTTTATTTTACTTCTGTGTTTATTGCCACGTTCGGCCTTCTGTACTCTGGAATTAGTCCCCAAACGATCGCAGTTTTTAGAGACGAAATCCGATACCAAAAATAGTGGCAAAGAGCGAGGCAAACGGTTTTACCATTCTGCTATTGAGACCCTTGTACCCCAAACATATTTTAAATTCCACATACAATGGGGAGCTCTCTAATTTGATGCCTTTTCCTCGCATACACAAAATAATTATTTGGCACTTATTTTACAAAGACGTTAGGTAGGTCCCCTGTCCTCACTGCAGTAAACCTCGGTTCTCGAACTACTCTCTTTTGTTTTGGAATAATTCGGTTTCAGAACAACATTTTCTGAGAAAAAACGTACTGGTTTTGAACATAACCTCGATTGATGAACAGCAAATCCTTAAAACACATATTTCACGGGATGAGCTTAAGACGAATCTCTAATCAGCCAATAGACAAGCAGGTGTTTGAGAACTTTGAGAACCTGGATGCAATTACCATTTCAAAGGTGTTTCGAAGTGACCTCTAACACGAAATTCTAGAGAAATAACTTTACATCCTTCACTATCTAAGCATCTTTGACAAAGGGTTGCTTGCAAGTAACTTAGAGGATCAATAACTCAGCCTGGAGGTTGCCGTGACAAGACTATACAGAAGGCAAAGTCTCTAGGCAAACAGCATTGGCTTGGTTGTTGACAGTGCTGATGTGCAGGAGCTAGGGTTAAATGAAAAAGCTCATTTCGGAAGAAATGGAACATCTCCAGAAGGATGCGAAAACCGTAGTGGACGAGAAAATATCTTCATTGACAAAAGAAGGAAGACAGTATGTTTCTCGTTTTATAATCAACGAAATATGTTGGGAGTTGAGTGTGGTACAAAGTTTTGAACAAGAAACAACATTGACAAAGCTGTAGCAAACCTGACCACTAATGTGGTTCTAATAACAGTGGCATGTCCCACTGTCAAAAGATTTTAAAAAGCAAGCTAAGAAGAAATCACACTGGACATGTTGTAGTCAGATAGAGGCCTACTTAAAACGTTCACAAAAATTGTGCGTGTATTGATGGGTAGGTGAGGAGAAAAAAAGGGGAGAGCGGAATAGTTATACAATGGCACTTTACTACTACACTTCAAAAAAAAAAAAAAAAGAAACATACAGCTTAAACATACACTGAACACAGCAACAGTCGATTTGACACTGTTTACCTCGCTATAGAGTTTGCTGTCAAAATATGATTGCATGGACCAAAATAGTTTTCTCTACTTTGCATTTACTGGACATGCCTACAGTATATATGTATATAGTAAAGGACCTTTTACCACGCACAAGATGGGTGATGTGGTCAGCATCACGCCGGTCGCCTTTACTTCCCTAGACTGCACCGGGTACCCACTTAAGGCTGGGTCAAGTAGGAGTCAAGGTCATTTTTGAAATATATATATATATAGGTTCAACGTTTAGCATATATATATATATATATATATATATATATATATATATATATATATATATATATATATATATATATATATATATATGCTAAACGTTGAACCTTTATGTGTGTGTCAATAGAACGTCCCCATGTAGGATGCAATTTTTCGTTATTTTGAAACCCCACCCTGGCTTTTGCCGGAGGCCCTAAATATAGCTGGGCCATTAATATGACCTAACGGTGGAATGGTATTTCCGGGATCTCTCCACGAATAATCCTCATCCGCATGGCGGCACCTTGTGTCACTGGGTGTTTATCGCTTGCGTGATGTCCTTGTGGGGTATAAATTACCTACCTAATTTTATATGATTTCTCCTTGCAACCAATTCAACAGCGATCTTGACATAAGCTGAGTTAGCTAATGAGCGAACTGAAAATTACAATGTCCTGATAGTAGTAATTATCTACCGATTGTTACAAAATGCAAATCTTTATGAGTGCAAACTTACTTTTCTTCTCTCAAATGCTTCAAGCGTGAATGACTCCAGAGCGTCGTCGTAGTTATGGTGACCGACAAAAGTAGCGAATTCGGGAAATTCCCGCGAACGGAAATCGTAAAAGTCATCCAGGATGTGCTGAAACTTCGTGTCCTCGTTTGTGTCTAAACACGAAAAAAGAACGATGTTTATGATAATGTGAAAGCTAAATTTCAGCAATAACATTTGGACGCCGCGACTCCTTGTGTGGGTCCTGGGGCCCCATTGTGAGGAGAGAGGGGACAAAAGAAATAAACCCACTGCCTCCCTAACAAGCATGACGTAAGAGTCGACCAATTAGGGGTTTCTTTCGAAGTTGGTCTATAGACCTTGACTCCCAGGTCGGCCCAGCCTTGAGTGGGTACCGGATGCAGTCCTGGGAAGTAAAGGCGACCGGCGTGATGCTGACCACTCCACCCATCTTGTGCTGATTGGTCTATACAAATATCGGTCTAGCCTTATATGCTTTAAATGCCTAAAGACGTGGAAAAGAGACCTTTGCCTTTACTTCGAAGTTGGAGTGCATCTGCCTGAGAGGCAATGAATTAATTAATAGTTTACATACAAATAAACTACATCGGTAAAACTGATGAGCACGCAAATCGCGAGTTCTATAACAATAATAAAGTCAAGTGGATGAATAACCAGATCTTTCCACCTGAGTTTACAGCAGCTGAACGCGAAGAAAAAGAAAAAGAATGCCATGACGCGGTCGAAACAAGATTTAGTCTTTGAAAAGATTTGTCCACAGGTAGCTTTGAAAACAGCACCTTTCTAGTTACTAAGAAAGTATAGAAACGGAACGATATAAAATCAAACTGCTACTGGTCCGATCAGAATTGAGAAAACTTCGATTGCTGATGAAGTTGGAGATGTAGCGCATACAGGAATTTCCCGAGTTCTGTGATGTCAGTTTCTCAACACCTCCTCCTCCCCCTCTTCCTCCTCCTCCTCGTCTTCCTCCTCCTCCCCTCCTTCTTCTCCTCCTCCTCCTTCTCCTCCTCCACCTTCTTCTCCTTCTCCTCCTTCTTCTCCTCCTTCTTCTCCTCCACCTCCTTTTCCTCCTCCTCCTACTCCTCCTCCTCCTCCTCCTCCTTCCTTTCATCTTCTTCTTCTTCTTCTTCTTCTTCTTCTTCTTCTTCTTCTTCTTCTTCTTCTTCTTCTTCTTCTTCTTCTTCTTCTTCTTCCACATTCAGCGAAGTATCGGGGGTGGGGGGGGGGATGTGTAACGTTCGTTGATGAGCTTTGTCAAGAGCACTATTATTTAAGATTAGTGTTCATTTGTGCAAAACTGTTCTTTATGCCATCACTCCAGTTTTACTAGGTGTTCTCCTTTCTCTATACCCGTTGTAACGTTTCAGTGTGGCTCGCTGTGGCGGATAGTACCAGGCATTCTTGTTAGGTGTCCAAACCACTTCATTTGTTGATCTTTGGTGATCTGTAAGACAGGCTTTTTTGCTAGCATTCGTCTGATTTCGTGATTTGGGATTCTGTCTTTCCTTGAATCTCCTGCAGCTCTTCTAAGGCATTTAATCTCTGTTGTCACAATCTTACGTTCATTGGAGAATATAAGTATTCACGTTTGACGCTGATGGCATAGTGTTGGCCAGAAAATAATTCTCATAATATTCAGTTTAGTACTCTGCTTGTGTGTCAACATGGGAGATAGTTACCCCAGTACTTACTTGATTAGCTTTGGTACATCTCGCGCTAATGTCTCTGTCCAGTTTTCCATCGGATGTGAAAATTGCTCCCAAATACTTGAATTCCTTTGTTTGTCTTAAAGTGTTGTTTTTTAATTTTTATTTCTAAGTTGTTTTTCTATCTCCCTATCACCATTGTCTTCGATTTCGTAGTGTTTATTCTCATATTATAATCCTCCCCTTTATTATTCGACTCTACTTATTTCGTAATTGTTTCCCGTAACAGTTTTCACTATAACACAACTGTTCTATAGTTAGGAAAATAGTAACAATACTTTTCTAGTTGTCGGCGTATGTGGTTTAGGGGTTACGACAGGAAATGTCACAATTACGCCGCACCAGGTTTTGATTTAGCTGAAAGCAATATGACAGAAGACCGTTTGGCGTTAATTTCGACAATGGTATAAGCGTCGAACCGCTCAATGACAGACTCCTGAACGTAAAATTGCTTTAAAAAACAACCACAGTCAATACATGACAGTGCTGATTATAATGATGATGATGTCTGTTACGATACTGATGATGATGTCTGTTACGATAATGATGATGATGTCTGTTACGATAATGATGATGATGTCTGTTACGATAATGATGATGATGTCTGTTGCGATAATGATGATGATGTCTGTTACGAAAATGATGATGATGTCTGTTATGATAATGATGATGATGTCTGTTACGATAATGATGATGATGTCTGTTACGATAATGACGATGATGACTGTTACGATAATGATGACGATGTCAATTACGATAATGATGATGATGTCGGTGATAATGAGGATGATAATGTCTGTTACAAAAATGATGATGATGTCGGTGATAATGAGGATGATGATGTCTGTTACGATAATGTTGTTGATGTTGGTTATAATGAGGATGATGATGTCTGTTACGATAATGTTATTGATGTCGGTTAAAATGATGATGATGTCTGTTACGATAATGTTGTTGATTTTGGTTATAATGAGGATGATGATGTCTGTTACGATAATGTTGTTGATGTTGGTTATAATGAGGATGATGATGTCTGTTACGATAATGTTGTTGATGTCGGTTATAATGATAATGATGATGTCTATTACGATAATGATGATGATGTCAGTTATAATGAGATGATGATGATGTCTGTTACGATAATGCTGTTGATGTCGGTTACATTGATGATGATGATGACGATGTCTGTTACGATAAGATAAAAATGTCGGTTATAATGAGGATGATGATGTCTGCTACGATAAGATGATAATGTCGGTTATAATGATGATGATGATGTCTGGTACGAAAAGGATGATGATGTTGATTATAATGATGGTGTCTGAGTACGATATGAGTGTTGATGTCGCTTATAATGACGATGTCTGTAATGATGATACTGATGATGTCGGTTATAATGACGATGTCTGTAATGATAATACTGATGATGTCGGTTATAATAATAACAATGGGGATACCTGTGACGACGGCGATGATGACAATTATGATGATTGTGACGATGATGATGCTGATATCCGTTATGATGTCAACGATGGTTATGCATGTTAAGAAGACCACGAAGATGTCTAATATGATGACGATGATGTTGACTGTTGCGGTGATGGGGATAATAATGATGATAAGGATGATGACGATGATGTTGACTGTTGCGGTGATGGTGATGATGATGTATTTTACAATGACAAGGATGCTTGGTTACAATAAAGATTAGGATGTTAGCAATGACAACTGTGATAATGACTGTAATGACTTTGACGATCTACCCACCAACTTACCCACGGAACAAAGACCGCATGCCGCCTGGCAGTTATCCAACATCCATTCTGTGGAGTCACACTGACCTCGTTCAGCCCAGAGCTGGCAGATAGCGTCTTCTGTATATGAGTTTCTGCATATTTCTGTCGACAGAAATACCATACAAAGTTTCTGTCAAAAACAATCACAACATACAGTTTCTGGGGCAAACAGTATAGCTACCCCCCCCCCCCCCCCCACACACACACAAACTCACACACATGGTGCCCCTGAATTCACATGGGAAATACCAAATACAAGAAATAGATATTAGAGGACATATTAGACGATCTACAACAAGTAGCTATTAGAGGTCACACTGGACCACAATAAAAGGTAGATATTATAAGACAAACTAGATCACAAACAATAAATAGATATTAGAGGCCAGGCTAGACAACTGTTTCCCAACGTGAGACCCACACCCAACCGGAGGAAAGCGGGGGGGGGGGGGGGTGGGGGGGGGGGGGGGGCAATTTGATTGTTAAAGGGGGAAATTCAAAAATGGACTCGTCAGAGTTTCAGACTATGTCTATGTTACATAGGGGCGTACGAATTTTGGAGAGCTTAGGTGGTTAGTTAGTCTTTCTTCTTGAGCCTAGGGCGGCACATAGGGCAGAGGGGATGGCTCTCCATGTCTGGCTGTTTGTTGCCACCTGTTTTAGGTCTTGGATGTTTATTGGGGCCATGGTTGAGCTTTCTAGGATGATGGTACTACGCATGATCTCTCTTGCTCTTCACGGTCCCCCCCCCCCCCACTCCCGGTGTCCATCTAAGGGCTTGATGGGGGAGTCTGGTCTTATCCATTCGGACTGGATGGCCGATGTAGTTCCAGCGGCCCTTTCTTATACAAATGAATACATTATCTTGCTTAGTCTCTTAACTTATAAGCATATGTGTTCTGAAATCTGTCCAGTGCTGGAAATCTGATTCTAAAACAAATAATGTTTTGTACGATGGCGACCTGTCGGGTCGTCGATCAACCCTCTTAAGCCAAGCTAGAGGAAACACATTTCGCCATCTTATCCAAACCGGAAATCATCTTAGGTAGGGCATGGCTCACAAAAAGGCCCGGAAACACTGCGCTAGACTATAGACAAGATTTAGATATCAGAGTACACACTAGAGCACATACTGTTTCTTCTGTGTTCGCCCTTAACAGGGAAGTTGGCGCGTTGTGCTGCGGTTAACAACTAAGCTAAGATTTCAGTGTCTTTCGGCCCAACACATCCGATTTCTGCAAACTCCTAATTGGTCGCCTTTTATTACTGTGGGCGATTTGGCAGTAGACGCCCTTGCTTATGTTTCGATAGTGGTATCGAAAGCCGACCGTTGATTGAGCAATGGCAAACTACTGAACGTAAAATTGCCTAGCGAAATCACAAAGTACCTAAAAATGCTGGGGTCTGGTTCTGCAACGTCCTGTAAAGGACACTCGACTAGCTTGTATTAGGAGGCAAGAAACGAGTATTAGATATTATAGGTCACAATTAACTACGGAGAAGAAAAGTAATTATAAGACACACTGGACGAAGACAGTAAATAGATACTAGAGGACGCACCAGACCAAGAGTTTTCAGCGACAATATCCAAAACTAAAAAGAGCGAGGCAAACGGCTT